TGCGAACCACAAGGTCAGCAGTTCGAAACTACCAACTGTACTTTGTCTTTTACAGCTGTCCTTTGAAATTTTCTGTTCAGCTTTTTACTTACTCATTTTTTTCCATTTGCTTTTCTTACGCTATCTTCAAGAGCAAGTTTCAGGGTCTCTTCGGACATCCACATTGGTCTTTTCTTTCTTTCTTGTCTTTTTAATGACTTTTTGCTTTCTTCATATATGATGTTCTTGATATCATCCCACAAGTCTTCGGGTCTATTAGTGTCTATTGCATAAAATCTGTTCTTGAAATGGTCTCTAAATTCAAGTGGGTTATACTCAAAGTTGTATTTTGGCTCTCATGGACTTATTTTAGTTTTCTTCAGCTTCAGCCTGAACTTGCATATGAGTAAGTTGATGATCTGTTCCACAGTCTGCCTCTGACCTTGTTTTGGCTGATGATACTGAGCTTCTTCATCATTTCTTCCCACAGATGCAGTCAATTTGATTCATGTGTATTCCATTCCATCTGCTGAGGTCTGTGTGTATTGTTGAAAAAAAAGTATTTGCAACGAATACGCCGTTGGTCTTGCAAAATTCTTTCATGTGATCTCCAGTGTCAAATCTATCACAAAGGTCATACTTTCCAAATATCAATCCTTGCTCCTTGTTTCCAATTTTTGCATTCCAATTGCTTGTAATTATCATTGCATCTTAAATGTATGCTTGATGAATTTCAAACTGAAGAAGTTGATAGAGTTCTTCAACTCCTTCATCACTGACTTTGCTAGCTCGTGTAAATCTTTGAATAATACTTACATTAACTGGTCTCCCTCCTAGACATATAGATAAGATCCTATCATAAACAGCATATTGTTCAATCATATATCCTTTTAATACTGAGTAATTGTGTCCGCTGATTATATGTTTTAAATCCAAATGCTAAATTCTAGCCTTCTCCTAGTGAGACTTTAATTGTACATCCTACGCCAGGTGCTTTGGTTCCAATACTTATCTCCAAATGAGACATTTCTAAAGAATGCATTGTCTGATGTGGTCTGGGATGTTTTTAGCAAACTTCATTTGGTTTTCCTCACTGATGATAGCACAGTAATGTGCCAGTTTTCTTCAGGTGTAAGAAGAGTTACAGGCCTTTCGTCGTGGCCCCCCTGCTCATTTTCCATCTTCAGCCTTATTTGTAGGAGGTGATAAAGTAAATCTCCACCATCCAGATGTGAATAACATTTCAGGAGTTCTTAAGAGAAATAATCAAAACTCCCAGCTCTTAAAGGAGTTCTAGTAGCGTAGCAGTTACGAGTCGGGCTGCTAACCTCAAGGTCAGCAGTTCGAAACTACCAGGCATTCTGCGGGAGAAAGATGAGGCTTTCTACTCCCGTAAAGATTTACAGCTTCGGAAACCCTGTACAGGGTCGCTATGAGTCGGAACCGACTCCATGACACACCGCCACCACCACCCAGCTCTTGTAAGCATACAAACACAATCAAACACAGACAACTTTGCTATGAACTTTTCATCCACTTTATGTGGGTGTTTATAGACACTGCATCTTTGTGAGTCTGGGAAAAAAACACATCAAAGGCCCAGAAAGGCTGTCTCAAATTCAAAGATGGAATAACTCCAAAGACCTTCTAGGAGTAGGGATGGAAATGATTTACTCTCACTCTGACCAATTTACTATGAAATTTCAGATGGTGACATCATCAGTGATAATGCTGCCCATCACCCTCTCACAGAGATTCATGATTAAAAACCTTCACTCTTACTGGAGACATGATATCCACTTGATAAGACAGGGAGCAGTGAGTGTTTAGAAGCTCTGGTAGCTTATTGGCTATGAGTCAGGCTGCTAACTTCAAGGTCAGCAATTCAAAACTACCAGCCGTTACATGGGAGAAAGATGAGTCTTTCTGCTCCCGTAATGATTTACAGTCTCCGAAATCCTATGCAGGGTCGCTATGAGTCAGAACCGACTCCATGGTTCAGACTCCTGGGCTTGCAAATTGTGTCTAAATTCGCAAGCCCAGGATTCTGTGGGGAGCTGGCCCCTGGTACCAATCTATACTACCATATAAGAGTTGTTGTTAAAGGCCATTGAGTTGGTTCTGACTCATAGTGACCTTGAATAGGGTTTCCAAGAAGTGGCTGATGGGTTTGAACCACCAACCTTGAAGTCCAAATTGACCTTGAGGTTCAGTGTTTATCCTACAGCACCACAGCAGGACTCCATATGAGAGTTGTTGTCATTGTTAAGTGCCATCGAATCAGTTCTGACTCATAGAAACCCTGTATAGGGTTTTCAAGGAGCAGTTGGTGAGCTTGAACCACTGACCTTGCAGTTCAAATCCAACTTGCAGCCCAGCACATTAAGCGGCAGCACCACACCAGGACTCCCCAAATGATAGTAGAGGTTGAGTCTCTGAGGCAAGTTTTAACCCTCTTCCTCTGCTTTACCCCTCACCTCCACCCACTCCTTGTTTACTAATTCACTTCCTTTTCCCCTGGAGTTTCCTTACATCCAGAATACTACTAAAGCCCTTTGTTGTTGTTGTTAAGTGCCATCGAGTCGGTTCCGACCCATAGCGACCCTGTACAGGGTTTCCGAGGGTGTAAATCTTTACGGGAGTAGAAAGCCTCATCTTTCTCCAGCGGAGCAGCTGGTAGTTTTGAACCGCTGACCTTAGAGTTCGCAGCCCGATTCGTAACCATTACACTACCAGAGCTCCCTTGGGGGTGGGGGGTATTAACATGCCATAAAAATGACAGTTGCCAGGCACGTAGGATAGGGTCTCCTTTTCATTATGTCCTGAAGCTGGTCCAGCTTAAACTTACCTAAACCAACTCAAACACAAATCTTTCCATTTATAAATGTGAGCAGTTGTTTACTCCTTCCTTCATTTGAGGATGCACTCAGAAACTGATTTCCAGGGACACCTCCCCCAAGCAAGCTATCTGGGAAACCCCATCCTTCACCCAGAACTTGGTAGGTTTATTTCTCAGTGCTCAGATTTGAAAATGCCCACAGTGTTGAACTGAAAGCCAAATGCTAGTACTCGTTCTCCCAGTAATTCCCGGCACCCACTTTGCCATCAACACTAAATTAAAAGGCGCCCGCGGATTTACTCTCTGTTCTGGAGCACTGGGATGCATCCAGATTGTCCTTGACCCTCTGAAACCTCGTCACCTAAGACTCTTGGTGAGGCAGTTAGCTGGAGCTATTTAAATTGGCATCTCCAAGGAGGGTTTTGCCCAATAAACAGCACAGCTCTCTTACATACTACAGATGGAGCTCTCCAGCAACAAGATGCCTCACCTTCTGCCCAGCAGAGCTGCACGTGTGTAGTTTTCTTTCCCTGGGGCTAACCAAGCCCATGCCACATGCTACCACTCTCAGCTGGCATCTCTCCCCCAGAGGCGCAGACTTTCTCGGAATCTCCAGCAGGGGAGGGTTGGGGATGCTGGGGAGGCTCCGCCTTTGCTGTCCACAAAAGTGACTCCTGCTCAATGGTCCCAAGAGATAGCCTGGGTCCGTGAGTGGGGAGCGTGTAAGAGCTCCTTCTAGGACAAGATGCCAGGCTCCCGGGGCTCGGGCCGTGGGCCAACCTGTGGGTGGCCTAACTCAGAGTGGTGAGACAGGAACTCGCGGCCAATCTTTTCTTGGTAGACGTCTGCCAATGTGGGTTTGATTGGAACCCTGAAATTCCGTGCACAGAGAGTGCTAGGGCTCCCCGGCGCCTCAAAGGCGCCTCGGGCCAGGCGCTGGGTTGACAGTTCGCTCTCCCCTCCTAGTGCCCAGACTGGAGTGCCACTTCGCGTCACCCTTACCCAGGGTCTACGCAAGACGGTTTCGGCGCAAACAAAGGGCGCCACCCTCGCCTCTATCTATCTATTCCAAAGGCAGCTCCTGGAGTCCTTGGTGTCAGGCCTGGGAGGTAGCCCCGCCTCATGCTCCTACCTGGAAAGCCGAGGCTCGGCGGGGCGCTCAACAGCAGCAGCAACACTGGTGGCAGCAGCGCGGGCCAGAGTGCAGGACTCCCCATGGCGCGCCGGCGCTTCTCTGGGCTCCCGCGCAGCGCGCTTCTAGGGGGCGGGAAGACACGAAGGACCTGGGGCTGCTCTGCGCTCTGGCGAAGGCTGGCCTGCAGAACTCCTCCTCTGGCCCTCCCTCCTCCTGGGGCCAACCCTCCTTTCTCTGCCCGCCTCCCCCGGAACAGCCAGAGGTCCCCTGCTCCGACCCAACCCCCTCCTTTTATGTGATCGCCTTTTTTCAGAGAGGGGCTAAACCCCCTGGACCTAGAGAGCTACAGCAATCGCAATACGGAAAGCATCTTTCTGTTCTGCATTTGTGTGTACCGTCACCCCAATATACAACCCGATAGCCGTACAGACTCCCAGACCCTGGACCTTAAAAGGATGCAATCCATTTGGAATACTGCTTGAGTCACACTGAAAGAGAAAGGACCATCCTTCGAGGAGGCCCAGAGTGTCCCACTGTGACGGGTCACAATGGATGCTTTCACTGGTTTGACCCTCACACATCAGATCCCAAGTTTGACATTAGTTATGTCCGTTTTATCCAAGAAGAAACTGATTCAGAATCTTAGAAACTTGCTCAGGATATCACCCTGTTTTAAGCAGAATGAGAATCAGAACTTAGGTCTGTGGATGTGCTAACTCCAAACTTCCTTTTACACTTTTTTTGTTACTTTTCTTCTCTCTTGTGAAGAGATGGATCAAGGACCGCACCAAGGCCATGTCTGCGAGCTGCGGTTTAGGACAGGACTTGAGGTTCTCCTTCCAGGCTCTGCTGATGGGAAAACACAAGGCACAGAAAGTTCCCTGCCTCACCCACAGCCTCGGAAATTCAACTGTACTTTCCTGAGCCAGATCCTTTCATTTCGTGGGTTTTTCTCAACCTCTCCAGGGACACCACGACCAGCCTACAGCCTCCACCCTGTGGTCTGGCATCTCTGGATCCTGGCATCAGGATAGGGTTTCTAGGCTGCCTGCAGGAAGGATCTGGTTTCATGGAGGCATTTGAGAAAGGTTTTCTAGTTTTTATTTTATTTGGTTTGCTTTTTGTAAGTCCCTAAAGGGGAACTTCACTCACCCTTTTCCTAACTAAGGGAGATCTTGTTGTCTTTGTTAATTGCCATGGAGTGGGTTCCAACTCATTGTTACACTGTATAGGATTTTGAGATGCAGCTGGTTGGTTTGAACCACTGACCTTGTGATTAACAGTCCAGTGTTTATCCTACAGTCCAGTGCCACACCAGGACCCCAAACTAAGGGAGATGGTCTTGTTGTCATCGTTGTTGAGTGCCGTTGCGTCAGCTCCAACTCTGTATAGGGTTTCCGAGGAATGGCTGGTGAGTTGGAACTGCCAGCCTTGCATTTAAAACCGACCTTGTGACCCAGCGCATTATCCTGCAGGGCCACACCAGGAGACCTTAGCTTGAGGTACATTCCAATTTGGGCTGCTGCATTAGGTTGTGCAGTTTGGGCAAAGCACAAAAGGACTTGAAGGAAGAGGCAAGTGGACAGGACTGAGATTCAGCTGCTTCTGGACTCACTGAGCTTTGTGCCTTGGCATGGCCCACATCTACTATAGATAGGCACCATTTACTTTGCCAAGATCATCTGGTCGGACAGCTAGGTTACAGGCCCTTGGAGCATTCTACAGAGTTTCATATTCATTTACCCAAAGATGTTATTTTCTAATTCTCACAACAGTTCCTGGCTTGCACTTCCATCTTACCCTCTCTAGTTCCTGTGTGTATATGTATGTGTGTGGGGTAGGGGGTGGGGGTGCATCTCCACATCTCCTGTGGGTTTCTCCCCTACTGCTACCTACTTAAGCAGCCATCAAACCTTCCGCTCTTGGTCTACCAAGTGTCACAGAAAATGGGTCATATCAGACTCTTCTGTGGCCTCCATCAGACAAAACCATTCAGGGAGTTGTTCTCCACTGTGGCCATGCACAAAAGTTATTGGAAGAACTTCATGGAAATATCATATTCAGATTCTACCCAGGTATCAAAATTTGAATTGGGGGCTGGGGGGTGCAGCTGAAGTTTGAATAGATGCATAATGATTTTAGAATAGGTGCAGATTTTAGAAGTCCAAGATTTCTCAACTTCAACACCACTGACGTTTGAGGCTCAAGATATGGTTGATGTGGGAACTGCCCTGTGCAGTAAGATGTTTAACAGTACCCTTGAACTCTAACCATTAGATTACACTTGACTCCCACACTCAACTGTAACAAACAAAAATGTCTGTAGACATTGCCAGATATCACCTAGGTGGAAAAAAGTGCCCTTAATTGAGAACCACTGTTCTAGGTCCATAAGCAAGGATGAATGTGTACTCCAAATTCCAGGTTTATGTCAGTCTGTCCAGCAGCTTTCTTTTCACAGGTCGTGTGTGAAGCAAGCCTTCCTCAAAGAAGACCAGCAGGAATGCTATTACTGTACAGAAAACAGACATTTGACTCTTTCCCACCACCTGAGTCTAGCTGAGTTACAAGCAACATTGCACTGCTGTTGTCACATGCCATCGAATTGGTTCCTACTCAGAGCGACCCTGCAGAGGGTTTCCAATGAATGGCTGATGGCTTTGAACCACCAACCTTGTGGTTAGCAGTCCAGTGCCTATCCTACAGCACCACACCAGGACTACCACACTAGGTAAGAGTTACTCTCTTTTCTTCCCTAGAACAAACTCCAACCAGAGTTTTTATTATTTTGTCTTTCTCTGATAGAAGGGATGGGGACAGAGGGAAGGTAAAGGGGGTGGGGGAGATGTTTCCACTTTATCCTACAATATCTTGATAAATAATAAGATAAATAGATTCACAATATGTCAAATAATCCAGAAGATAGGTTTGATGGAAACAAGAAGGAAAGTAACTTACGAAGTGCCACAGAGCTATGATCTCATTCATGTCCTCCTTCATATTACTGTTACTGCTAGAAGGCGACATTGCTGATATGAGACTTGAAGATGGGAGGGCAAGAAGTAGCTTCCAAGCATCTCTATAGGAAGGAATCCTTTACTGATTCTAAGCAATAAAAGATCATAATATGATGTCTTACACTTACATACAGATACAGAGCAACGGAAGCATGGTTCCACAACAGCAACTGTGACCTTGTAACCTTGCTGCCTATACGGCTGGCTATGAAAGACTTCCTAGGCACCTCAGAGGCATGTTGTGAGGCTGTTTTGTCCTCTGAAGCATTCCTACCCACTGCTACCCAATGCTATCAATTCAATTCCATTTCATAGAGACAGTAAATCTTTGCAAGAGCCAGAAACCTTCTCTTTCTCCCATGGAATGGCTGGCTGATGAATTCGAACTACTGACCTTGCAGTTAGCAACCCAATGCATAACCCACCACGCCATCAGGGCAAGTGCTGGGTAAAGTGTCAGGTGAGGAGCAGAGAGCACAGGCTGACAGGAGGAGAGAAGTGAAGGTGTTTTTTCTACTCTCTGCAATGTGGAGGAAGTTGTATGAATCTACAAAGTCTTGGCCCTTGAGTCAGAACAGTGTTCCACAGTGAAGGTAACAAGGGGTTTTGATAGATTCCCCAACTTTCTGCCTAGAGCCTGCCAATTCTGACATCAGTAAGGAGAATTTGGCCATGTAGTCTTTTTTTTTTTTTTTTTTTTTTTGGTGAATTGAGTGATAGTTTACATGGGAGAACATGGGTTTCATGGGTTTTACACTCATCGTTTCATTGCAATGATTACAATCTCCTCCATGAATCATCATTCAACAGCATTTGCTTCTATTCCCTCTGCTGTTTTTTTTTTTTGCTGGGGTGGGGGGAGGATGTACACAAAAACACTCAGGAATATATAATAATTTAAACAACCAAAGGGCACTTTCTGCAAGTCTGCCTCCTGGCCGCCAGCCCTCAGTCTTTGTCTTTCCATGAGTCTAGAGTCCTCAGCTGCTCTGTCTCTCCATGTCCTCATCTCTGCCTCCATCTCTGGGGCGACTGCTTCTCTGGATAGGGTCCCACCTTCCGCTAGTGCTCTTGTCCCTTGATGGTCCTGGGGTCCTTTGTTCCTGGACTACTACTCCCCTTTTGTTACAAAACTTCTACCTGTACAGTTGTGACAGTCTCAGTTAGTCATGATAACAATTACTCACTGTTGAATCATAAGAATCTTATCCCCATCTCTTTTCACCAGACCCGTCTAGACAAGATGAAAACTATTCAGTGGGGACTCTACCTTCCCCTGCACACTCTTAAACTAAACTCCCTCTTGAAACCTTGTAAGCCAGTCACTTCGTGCCTTCATTGCCCCCTCATTTTAGGTAGCCAATTTCTAAGTTGCCCATCCCTATCTACCCTATATACACAGGGGATAGGATTGATAGTTGATGTGAAGACTCCTTCCCTCTCAGTTGGTCTTTTGAGCTACTACATCCATAAGTCTAAGTCAAGTTCATCAAATTGTAGCAATTTACACTTGTTTTCTTTATCAAAAAATGTTTATTTTATCTTCCTCTAGTCGAGTTCTGATCATCAAGCCATTAAGGCTAAGTCAAAACTATCTGCAAGTTTGGGCATTCGTGTGTGTTCCCCCTACTCCCCCAGTTCATATCATCTGGATGCTTCATTCTCAGCTCTAGCCCTCCATGGCTGTGTCCTTGTTCATGGGCTCAGGAGTCCACAGATCTCACCACACTCTGAAACAACCAGCCCTTCCTCCAGAAGTCTATGGCCATGTAGTCTTGGTATGGTGCTGTGGGATAAAGCACTAGACTACAAAGTAGGTTTGAACCACAAGATCAGTGGTTCAAACTCACCAGGTGCTCCTTGAAAACCTGGTCACTATGAGTCGGAACCAACTCAACTGTACTTAACAACAATACCCGTGAAGGAGAGATACTTTTTAAGAAAGTTAGACTTAATGTCTTCCCTCCCTATGGCCCTACCAACTTCCTACACCTGCTCATTCACCCACCTTTCTGTTGCAGACCGTGTAAGACTAGTCAGAGGTTCGAGGCCCTCTAGGGCTGAG